AATTGTGAATTTAGATGACCTTGATATTTAAATTCAATGTGTATATAATCAAATAAAGTTTCTAAAAAAACCATGTCCATGGCTATGAAAAAATTATGTATTACTCAACATTGTCATACTTTATAATATATTTATATTTGCAACAAAACTTATCAACCTCAATTGTAAAGATTTTCCAAAAAATATCATGTGTATTTGCAATGTGAAGTGCCTACAATACTTAATGTTAAGACAAGGTGTACAATTCTTTATGAAAAGAATATGTTTTCTAAGAATATTTTATTGCTTAAAAACAAGAATAGATATGAGTGTCATGAACATTTAAAGAATTGTATTCTATGTCATCTTCCTAAATAATTATATATATCATAAACTTGTAGTTGTTCCAAAGGGCCTTCTTTATTTTATGTGTGGTGAGAAGAAAGAGCCTCCTACCATGCTATTGTATAATTACTATCAACGTAGATAGCATATAATATGTTTAATAGAACTTCCTTCAAATCTTTCTTTAGAAGATTGGATTTGTCTTTCTTGTAGAAAATCTTCCAACCACATCTAATCTAATAATAAAGATTGATAACTCCTTCTTCAATATTTGCCACAAGTTTTTTATAATTTAGCTACTATAACATTGACTTGGTTGTGTATTATTTAGTAGCAACAACTTGCTAGCATTCATCTCTAATTATGTGTGTATTGCCATCATAGCTAATTGTAGATGATAATCTTTATTTACACAAAATGGCCTTGTAAATGCAATAACAATATATCCAACTTCATTGTTCATTTTGTCCCTCAAATAAGTTGGTATTGGTAGTAAATTTGAACAAGAAAATGGAGAACAAAGAGAAAAAGAAGAAACAACAACCAAATTGCATATCAAAGTCCATAGGAATCAAAAGCTAAAATTTAGATTAGAATAAAAACTAAGTTAGCACAAATGCAAATAATTTGAAGATATTACTATTAACATCAATTTTCATCAAGCTAGATAAAGACAACTATAAGAATTAAATTTACATTCAGTGCATTGGTGTAAGAATCCAAAATTTTGGATGAAGTACAATTCAAAGAAGGGAATAAGGTATAATATTATAAAAGATTTTTAAAACAACTTTTCAAAGAATATGGACTTAATGATTGAAACAACATAAGAAAGGAACAATTATGCGAGAAGCAAAAAGAATCAAAGTGCAATAACAACAGAGAAGAAAATTTAAAATTTGGAATAAAAAAACAGTAGTAAGAACAATACAAGAAGTTTGGAGTGGTGACGAGGGAGAATAATGGAGAACAATGTTGAAAAGCAAATAGCAATGGTTTGGGTGGCAAAAAGAAGGAGAAATTGTGTGCCTATAACACTATTCAAAAATTGATGTATGTTTTAAATTATTTGTACTTTAAATTTTGATTTGTATTTGTATTTTTAAGTGTGTTACAGGTGCTTTCAAATTTCAAATTTTAAAATAAAGTGTATCTTTGCTTCAATCAATAACACTTGTATCGTCACTATGACAATTGTTTGTATTTTTAATAGTATGATCTTGTTGTAATGAATATATCATTAAATTTCAGATTATAATTGAAATGAAATAAAATATTTTTCAATTCTCTACATGCCTTCTTTTTAGTAACATTACAATCAACAAAACATTGAAATAAATTATGACAATACAATAGAGGTGTGAGAATGTAGAATACCATTGTTTTAAAGTGCATAATTATCTTCAAATCAACATCAACTTGTGCATATATGTGTATATATATATATATATATATATATATATTTCCTTTCTATTTAGCTGTAATTGGAAGACAATCACAGCTAGGATGCAGTTGACCTAAAAACAAATAACTATGCAGGTGTTTCAAATACTTACAGTGAAAAGAATGATCTTAAAAACTTGGAATATGATCAAATGAAAGAAGATATGTACATCTTTAAAAGGTTTCACATGCTTTCATTATCTTTCTATAGCATCAGAACACTGTTTGTATGTATGTATGTATGTATATTGTTAAATGAAAAAACATTTGCTACATAATATGGAATCTGTATTTTCAGACTTCTGAAACACCACTCATGATTCATTTCTTAACTGTACACAAGATATGAATAAATAAGAAACCATTAAAAACATATGCCTCTTCACGATGTAAAAAATTATGTTTTCCTTTCATGTATTGCACTCAAAGCAACAGTTGGGTTATTGTATGTTGCCCTTTGTCATTGTATGTTGTCTTATTTTGTGTCAAATATTTTTCAGAATGTTGCCCTCTCACAAAATATAAAAATGTATGTAGTCATTTCACATATATTGCCTTACTTTGTGGCATAATATTTTTTCTGCCCAATGGCACAAGTTTCCACTAATGATTGTGTGTATATATATATATATATATATATATATTTAAAAGCTATAAAAGAAAATACACTGATAAACATTTACAATGCCTTTAATTCAGAACACAATGTTTAGAAAAAAACAAAAGACTAGAATACATGCACAAAAAGAATTAAAAATTGTGCAGGAGTTTTTACTTGGTGTTGACACCAGTCACACCATAAAGTTTTTTGCAAGAAAATTATAGTAAAACTTTGTTTAGTTACACAATATTGTGCGTCTATTATTACAAATATTGTTTTAGCAAATCGCACAATTTTGATTTCGGAAAAAGAAAAAAAAGAAAGAAAGAAAGAAAAAAACACACACACACACACAGTGTACTCAAATGATTTAATAATAATAAAACGTTTTTATAAAAATTTGATCGGATATAAATACTTGTAATAATATTAAGAATTAAAATGAAAAAGAATAATACAACTAGATTAAATAGGATGTAATTAGAAGATATCATTTCTAATTTATTTTAAAAAATCTTTTATCTAAATCAAACACTTAAACTTGTGACTCCTAGATCTCAATATTTGTAACAATTTGATGTTTAAGAATTACTTAACACATTTATTCAAATACAACATGAAAAGTTATCATGCATGATAATATGATAATAATTTACCATGCTATGGTGCTATAATATTGGAATATATTGATTTTATTTTGATGCATATATTTTTACTCTTTTGAAGAATAGTGTAAAGAATAGAAGTACAAGGATAAATGTTACTATAGACATTTATCCAAAAAACAATTTGGTCATTTGGCGAACTGTTTGCTTTGCCCACTCACCATATTTCCACAATTTATCTAACATAAACAACTACCTACTCAACAATAAAAAATAAACAGTTCAAATTCACATAAATCAATGTACTACTAAAAAAATAAATATTAAAAAATATTACAAAATTTGAAACACTACAGATGTTTTTTATGTAAAAAAACATATATTTATATTTTTAAAAGTAATTTATAAAACACCTTATATTTACATCTTTTTATAGTTTAATACTTTAAAAATTAAATATTATGAGTATAAATTTACTAATAAAAACACCATGTTAAAATTTAAATTTTTTCTAAGTAATATATATATATATATATATATATATATATATATATATGAAATAAACATAAAAATTCTAGAAGTACATCAATTTATTTAAAGACAATCCATACACATGATTAAAATTCAAATCAAATTTTGATTAATTTCAAAATTTGTACTATTAGTATTATTAAAATTATTATATTATCAATACTAAAATCTAAAAATTTAAATAAAATAAATAATAAAATAAATTTAATATATATTTTATTTTATTAATTTACATACTTAAAATTAAATACACTTATGTTTAATTATAAATTTAAAAAATATTTTTAATTCATCAAATCAACATTAAAAGAATTATTCATAATTTTTTGAAAAATCATATCTTATAAAAATGAATAGACATATGTATATGTATGTATATGTATGTATATGTATTTTAAGATGTTAAAATTGTGCTTTTGCTTCTTGACTTGTGCAAGAGGTTTACATTGTTTGAGAGCATGATGCTGCTTGATGTGTTTTAGCTATGTCAAACTCCAACAACAACTTGCTTTTGAGCTTTGTTGGTACATAGAGTAGCAAGGACAATAAAGCAAAAGAAGGTTGATCAAGGACCAAATAAGATGGAAAGAGAGATTGAAAGAAAGTCATTTAACAAGGAGTGAGACACATCATTTGTAGAATGGATATGACCACAATCTTTGGTTTCTAGAACAAGTACTTTTTTAGGATCACATCACGTCACTTCTTTTTCATATAGTGTATGATCATTTTGAATTGTTACACATTTTTACCTTATATAACAACACTTTAGCTAATAAAGAAATTTAAAGAAAAATACCAACTTATATATATATATATATATATATACATACACACACTTACATAATAATTTTTTTACCTTTTTAAAAGAATGATTTTATATTCCATTAATGTGAATAATTTCCGTGTACCACTTCAATATCATCTTTAACTTCTAAAATGTGACTTGCCAGGCCAAAAGAACAGTTTCAATTTCCTCAAGTCAAACTGTAAATTATGAGACCGCGACAAAAGTCAGTTTGATATCTTCAAGCATGAAGTCTTTTCGGACTCTTTCATGTTTTTACAACTCTCGGCTGCAGTTACTGTAAAGCAACTCTTATCTAGCATTTCATCACACCTTGTCGCACTCTTCCTGTCCACTTATTCAATCTGTCTGATTACCATCAGTCCAAGGGAGTTACAAGGAGTGTCACTTGCACAAAAGTGTATCACTAATTTGTAACGAACGTGTAACAAACGTGCAAGAATATATCTTGTCTTTGAATTCGTTGTACAAGGGTGGAAAGCTACAGGGAAGATTTGTAATCCAGGTACGAACGATCTTAGTCCAAACCTTTGGCAACAAATATCATATGTCACACAAATATCATATATCATACGTTTCTTTACAAGTGAAAATCCCCCACCTCATGAGATGCGACGAGGAGGAGGAGGTCAATTGCAACTAGCTTGACTTCCTTGTCACGAAAGAAGATATGTGGGTGACAAGTGGAAATGCTTGCGAAGTCAAGTAGGACGCAGGGGCAGTATAAGTTGTTGCGTCTATGTTCTCATTCTCTTACAATCAATCGGACAGTGATCACATTGGCTCTGTGAATTGCAGCTCAAGTCTTCGTTGAGTGTCTTCTGGACCTTCAGCTGAGGACAGTCCAATTGGGTTCTTCTGCTATGACGAATTACAGTGGGGATCGACGACCGCTGAAGGTGGTAGTGCCACTCGTGGTTCTGGTTTTTTTCGCATTCTCTGAGGTAGTTTCTGCGCAGACTTGTGGTTCCCAAGCAGGCGGTGCAAAGTGCCAGAACAACTTGTGTTGCAGCCAATATGGGTATTGCGGGCAAACGAGCGCTTACTGTGACTCAGGTTGCCAGACCCAGTGCTCGTATGCAGCGCCGAAGGGGCTTTATCCCGGGAGGATGCTGTTCGATTACCTTGGATCTAACGGAGTGGCCATAACTTACAACGATATACCCGTCACTAACACTGACGTGGTTTGGGTGCTGGGCTTATCATTCGCCATCGATATGAGCTCAACTGGAGCCACGCAAAATGGAGTTCATTCAGTTTATTGGAACAACGCGGCCGGGAATCTGACACCGGCTGCGGCGAAATCGTGGAGGCAAGCTCACAACAACGGCAGGATTGTCATAGCCATAGGAGGATCTCAGCTCTACACGAACAGTGGCGTCTACAATGTGAACTGGTACGATCCTGCTAATACAACCAGATGGCTTCAAAACGCTGTCTCATCCATTACGACGATTGTCAACACATACGGCGCCGATGGGATCGATATTGACCTCGAACGGTTTCCCACGGGCACGGGTTCTACATTTCAGTCTCTCATCGGAGGATTGATCACGACTTTGAAGAACAATGGCGTGATCAAGTTTGTAAGCGTGGCCCCCGGCTATGATCAGCTGGCCAGGTACACGGCCCTCTACAACGCCTACAGCAGCTACATCGACACTGTGAATTACCAGTTCTACGGCGAAGGCCTCGACACATGTGCAAAGTACAAGGCAAGGTACGCGCAAGTGATTCAGAATTTCCCCTCCAACATAGTGGGGCTTAGCACTCAAGTGGCGGGGGATCCCAACACCATTACTGGCCAAACGTTCATCAATTGCGTCCAAGACATCAAAACAACCAACAGCATTGCAGGAGTATACCTTTGGAATGCCGACATTTCCAAACAGCAGAATAATAATTTCGCGATGGAGACCTCTGTTGCCGCAATCCTCTAGAAACACGATTAATCTATAGGTTTTAAACTTACATCTATATATATATATATACATATACATATATATACACATATACATATATATACACATATATATATATATATATATATATGTGTGTGTGTGTGTTGCCTACCAACAAAAGTTGAAAATAAGTATTCGAGATTATTCCAAAAAATTTAAGCCCGAGATCCCTTAACTATTCACATGGCTTGATGTGAAATGCTATTACAGCAGTGCGATGACTATAATATGAAATGATATCACACGATAGTGATGAAGAGTTCGATCTGGCAGAATTTAAAACTAAATCACGTATTACGTAAAATGGAGATTCAATCAGATCTTTTGGACATTGTGCATCCACCAAACCATTTGCCTCGAACACGAATCCTAATCATGCAACGATTTCATGATACTTCATAGAGCCATTACTCCATCACACGCAAAACAACCTATCAGAAATTGCAGCAGTGGAAATGCGCTGGAATATAGAAAAAGCATCAATTGCAGAACTGAGGATCAGTTAATTTCATTTTCTCAGATTTGTTAACCATGAAGAAGCCCGAACCATGTGACCCTGCCAAGGACACATTCTCGCCACCGGAGGTCGTGCATTCCAACCATAGCAAAGGGACCACAATCAATAAAATAGCTCAGTATTTCAGTGACACGCCACGTAGGATGACCCCCGGAGGGGATTGCTCTTTGGCTCTTCGAAACGGACCCCGACTCCAATGCAGTGCAACTTCTAAGCTCTGGTTCCAATGCGGCGTAACGAAGCCACGAGCTACAGGACAACGAGAGGAACTGTTGAATGTCGATTAACTAAACACCTTCATTGTGTAGTCACCATTCATACTTATCCCACGCACAGCACAGACATGTAATGCCTGTCTCCACACCCTTTTTATGTCATATCTACCCCCCCGTTTCCGCTGCCATCCCGAAGATTCCCGATTGTCCTCAAACCCTACAATCGCTCTTCCCTCCCTCTCCTACCTTCCCAATCACACGCAAGGTCGCAAAGCGAGACTGGGTTGGTGGTAGCGGGGCTCATACCTAGACCGGTACACGGTGGAGCTATACTTGGCGGCTGGAGAGAAGGAGAAAAGCAAGCGGGGTGTCGGAAGGAAGAGATGCTCAGATCGGACGAAGAAGACGAAGCCCTGGCTGGCTGACTGGCGCTTCAACCCACTCGAGGGTTGGTTCCATGCCGGCGAGAGGGAAGAAGAAGGAGAAGCAGGTTCATTCATCCAAATGCTTTCTTTGGCGATCATCAGGGGGTTCAAGTTTGCTGCGGTTTCCACTGATGCCATTGTGTTTTCCGTCGCAGCCGTCTCTTAGTCTCTTTTGTTGATCGCGGTGTTGGTCTTCCCTCCAACCGATCGCTTGATCAGTGTAAGTGCTCGATCTATGGGACCTGGGTTTCTCAAGCTTCACAGCATTTCTTCTTTTTTGCAGTCGACCAGTGGCTTTGCGTTTTTTTTTATTATTTTTTTATTTTTAGAATTGTCGTGTACATCAATGCTTTAAGCTAAGTAGGCGGCTTGGTTTTTTCAGCGTGGGTTAAGGGCTTGTGGTTTTAGATCGTGCAAGTGCATGTTGCGACATTGGTCTCTATAGTTTGAGTTCGCTCAACGGGGAATATCTCATGGTGGAAGTATAATATTGGTTTTTATCGACGTCTGAGATTGTGGTTTTCTGGGTGTTGGACTCTCAGAGCTGATTAACAGAGACTACGATGGCCGCAACAGCGATGATCCGATCTTCTGCTGCTCTCGGCAGCTCCTCCCTAAGGGCGTCGTCCACTAGCAGGGGACACGTCTCAGTCTCCACCTCAGGGGTGCGTCCATTTCACTCACTCGGTCTTGTCTGAGTAAAGTATGATCCAATGTTAATCCTATTTGCGTGTTAGTTCTCGTGATATTTTCTCCTTTATCGGTTTCGAAGTCAAAGCATCTTGCCGTAAGATCCTCCATTTGTCCATGTAAGTAATGTATTCTTTTGCTACATCACTGAAATGAGTTTCGGACAGAAACCTGGAGGCGTATACCAAAACTATGTGATTAAGGAGTTTGTTTTGACAGGTATGTGCCCAAAAGAAGAATGTGAGCTTCTCCGCCGAAGACTCTTTCGCAGGATCCGTCAAGAGTTTGAGGGTGGCTGCATCTCCCGTTTCCAGGTGCCGAGTCGTTTCCTGGAAGACAAATTCAGACTAGGTTTGATCAAGTTGATGTGGACTCATGTGAATAGTACACACCCTTTTACCATGTAATTCATGGATTTAATCTTGATTCGCGAGGGGCGAACTCTGATATTGATCCCAGAAATGCAGGTCGATTAGCAGGTCTTTCACAGTGAGAGCGACTGCTACCGAATTTCCCGTGAGAACAACAAGTAAAGCTCTTCAGTTGATCTTCAGAATGCACAATGAATAGTGTACTTGAATTAAGATCTTATTGGATCTGTGTTTCGGCGATCATACTTTGTTTATTTTTCAGAGTCGGGAAGCCAAGAGAAGATTCGAATTGGAATCAATGGGTGTGGGAGGATTGGAAGACTTGTTCTCCGTGTCATCCTCGCCAGGGACGATGTCGAAGTTGTTGCCGTAAACGACCCCTTCATTGACACCAAGTACATGGTATGCTAAGCCCTCTTAATACTGTCGCCTCGATCATCAAAAAAATTGGCGTTCCTGTGTCATTGATAACGGACTTCTCAGTTTCATCCCAAATCACAGTGGGTTTGTGAGACCGTAAACTGATAGGTGAATCTGTTCTGTAGGCATATTTGTTGAAGTACGACTCTACCCATGGGCTCCTCAAGTCCGAGGTGAATGCTGTAGACGACAATACTTTGCAAGTTGGCTCTCAAACCATCAAGGTCTTCGGATGCAGGTAAACCTATATTTTGGTGTTCTTACATGGTCGGTCTCGGTTGTGGCTGATGCTTCCGCGAACTGGTGCGATGTCCCCTGGATGAATTCGTCCTCATACAAAGTTCTCGACCTGTCCGCAGGGACCCTGCTGAAATCCCATGGGGATCAGTTGGAGCCGACTTCGTGGTAGAGTCTACCGGTGTCTTCACTGCCGTTGACAAAGCCTCTGCTCACTTCAAGGGTGGTGCCAAGAAGGTGGTGATCTCCGCACCTTCTGGCGATGCGCCCATGTTCGTGATGGGTGTGAACCAGCAGTCGTACAAGGACAGCATGAACGTGGTGTCCAACGCCAGTTGCACTACCAACTGTCTTGCACCTCTTGCAAAGGTGATCCAGGACAACTTCGGCATTGAGGAAGGGCTCATGACCACTGTGCATGCCACCACTGGTAATGATGGTTCCTGCAGAGGTCTTGGAGCATGACTGGGGTGTCATATTTGTGGGTGCTTTTACAATGAGCAGGACTTATTTGGATGATGACGTGAATGTTGTCTGTGTGCAGCCACCCAGAAGACTGTGGACGGCCCGTCTGGTAAGGACTGGCGTGGAGGACGTGGTGCTGGACAGAACATCATTCCTAGCTCAACTGGAGCTGCAAAGGTACTGTGCACGACAGTTGAATCCTTGGCGAGTGCACTCATGAGGCTGCTGTAAGTTATGTGAGCGGAATTGTCTGCACTGATTCAACATTGGCCTGATCGTCGCTTTCCTCGTTCGGGATTTTCAAACAGGCCGTGGGCAAGGTGCTGCCAGAGCTGAATGGGAAGCTCACCGGTATGGCTTTCCGTGTCCCGACTCCCAATGTGTCTGTGGTGGATCTGACTGTGCGTCTCCAAAAGAGCGGCTCATACGAGGACATCAAGGCAGCCATCAAGTGAGGGATCGTCTGGGGGTGCTGCTTTGTGGCAGCTGTTTTCAAGTGTAGTGATGCTTACCTGTTGTTCAAGTTTGAGGTGCCCAGTAACAAGTCGCTGCCACTGACGTTGGGAGGTATGGTTTTGTGCGAATGATTGCAGGGCCGCTTCTGAGGGGCCGATGTACGGCATCTTGGGTTACACTGAGGACGATGTTGTGTCCAATGATTTCGTTGGTGATGCGAGGTAAGGTTGTTGATTTTGGATGGGACGGACTTGTTTGTGGAATTAGTAGCGTCGTGACACTAATGGTGTTGTAATGTCGATACAGGTCGAGCATCTTCGATGCTAAGGCAGGAATTGCCTTGAGCGACAAGTTCGTGAAGTTGGTGTCGTGGTATGACAACGAGTGGGGCTACAGGTAATTTGGGTTATGTGTTTGGCTTTTTCGATTGTGCATCTTGGTGGGCATCGTGGTGGAACTCGGTAGGATATATGGTAGTTTCGTTCTGACTATCGTGTGAATGTCTTGCAGTAACCGAGTTGTGGACTTGATCTTGCACATGGCTGGAGTAAAAGCCAACCTCTACTAGGGATTGAAGCAGTCTGCACGCGGCTAACATGGGAAGCCTTTACACGTTTATGCAAAGAGGGCAGAAATTCATACTGAACACACCGAAATCAGCCTGCGGTAGATTCCTATCTTTGAACACTAGGAAAGAAGTGGGGTCAAAAATAGCTAGGGATGATCACTGCTTCTCAAAATGGTTTTTGAGGTAGGAATATTAAGGATACGTACGTTGGTATGTAAACGTGCTACAAATTTTAAAGAGGCGAGTCTTCATTATGGATACAGGCTACGGACTCATCACAGACTGTGCCTTTCACCTGTACGGGCAGTCACTGGCTTCCAATTAGTAATGAAGATGCACCATTTTCACAAAAATAATTTCTGCCTGCGGTGAATTCCCTTTGTCCATTTTGTGAATCACTGAATAGCAGTTGGAACTATTTAGTGTACTGTCGACACTACGTACTGCCGTGCAAGCAGTTAGTTATGTTAATGTCAAAGAGGGTGTTATGCTAGTGCCGTGGGTATCGACTTTAGTTGTCAGTGTGAAACAGGTTGTTCTAATTTAACTTTAAAAGAGTTGGTCTCGATTTACTCGGCAATCGAAAGTGGATTAGAAGAAGAGTCTTGCCCATCCTAAGAATTCAGTTTCGGATGCTCACAAACTGCCAAGCTCGTATTCTCCGCTCACTTGTTCGATTTGGCTAAATTCCTTCCTGTCTCATGTTCGTTCCTTTAGTGGGGCGCTTCGCCGAGTGTGATGAACTGGAGCCCAAGAGATATTCTGAAGCTTAAGTGATGAAAGTGTAGCCTATCTAGGTCAGTCTGAAGATGAGTCTTTCTTGAAGGAAGGCGTAGCACTGTTTTGCCTCTTACATCCCAGGTTTAGGAAGATTCTTTAGGAAGATTGTTAAATTTTGGTTGAGGTCGAGTCGAACCCCTTGTGTGGGAATCACTTTCTACCATCTGCAGTCATGTGCTTTGTTTCATAAGATGAATCACTTAGGCATATTAGGGGTTATCTGTGTAGTCTCGGTCGTATGATTCGAGCCAGTCGTGAAGAATTTTGACACACAACTAATGAATGATAGTAGTGCTAAGGAATGATCATTGTGGAAAGTTCTAAACTGTACTGTTTTCTTTCATACGGTATTGTACCACATCGGATGAAACTTAGAAATGTAAATTTATTTCTTGGGTGTATCCTCAGTTGGCAGTCTCGCTGTTTACACAGTTGATGTGTGTCGTGATCTTATTTCATCTCTTTGTCGATAGGCTTGTAGGTTGTTCGAAATTGGACATAATTTTTTTGGGGTGGTGAAATACTCAACAAGTCACTTGAAAGTGTACCTGCTCTGTTTCAGAATGTGAAAGGTTGACACCCCCTCATATCAGCTCTGTTCCTCACCGCCCTGAGTATTGGGCTATTCGTACCTATAAACTCGAATCTACTTCAGGACGGAGGTGAGACGTTTGCTGGTCTTCAGGATGACCATATTGATTGGTTCGTAACCTCGAAGCAAGGATTCCCGGAGTTTGGAGTGAAGCTTCTGAGGGGCTGGCCCGAGGAGATCAATCCTGGCACAATCAAGTTCTACACACAGTACATATCGTAGAAGAGCGGTGTAAAGGTTTCATGTCGAATGTTGTTTCAAGCGACACAAATGCATTTTTTCGAGACGCAATTCTTTCAGCTTTGCAATTGAAGTTGCTGAAAGGGTGACCAAGTTAAAAAGTGCGTAGTGTCTCATAAACCACATGCCAATGTTGTGAAATCACGAGTCGCTTGAGGCTTGAGTTTACCAGAGGCCAGAGTAATTTTAGAACACGGCAGTTTGGAGGGAGGGATACTTTGCATCTATAAGTTGAGCAAGACATGATGGAAGAGGACGACGAGTCGGAAGTTCCAGTACAATCGATGCCGAAGAAAGAGTTGAAGGAAGAGCCCAGATCGATGGGTGCAACGGCGAACTTAGAAATGGCCCAGTTAAAAAAAGAGGTGCGCAATTTGCGATGTGAGAACGATACCATACGCCGAGAGCTTGAATCTTCGAGAGAGAGGTTGAGTGCCTCCACGACAGCATACCACAACCTGCAAGGCCACCTGCGATCCCTGGTGGACAAGTACACAGCCGACCAGGGCCAGAACGAGGTGGAATTGCAGCAACTGGATCACCAGGCGAAGGACATCATCGAGCGGATACAAACCGTAGCTGGAAGGCTGGAAGAGGATAACGCACTGCTGGTCGAAAAGCTCAGAGAAGCCATCAAGTAGCATGGGCACAGAAAAGTCCCCCCCTCCCTACCCTCTTCACCTCCTTGGCCTCCCACTGAGTCGTGGCTGTGGAGGGAAGGCTTGGTGAAATTCGAGTTTCACCCATCGACTCCTTCCTGCATGCCCTCACAACCTCACAACATAGCATGCTCAGTTCCATGCACGTCGTGGAGCATGGTCTCAACACATACATTTTGGTCCGATTAATACTCATTATTCCAGATTACGGCGTACATCTGATTGAGTAGCAATCAATATATCCGATCACCCTCTTGTTGTTGTACTTCGTAATTTCGAGGATTAACCTGAAATCTTATCCTGGAGGCGTTGTTGTCGTTGTCTGTTGCATTTCAACGTGTGAAAACAGACCATCACAGCCAAAATTGCCATTCAATTTGAGCTGCTTTGAGGTATTGTGCTTGGACAGTAAGTTTGGCATTGAAGCTCTCATTGCCTAACTTATGTGCCACAGTGAGAGCTTCAATACCAAACCAGTTGAACTTTTGAGAATTACATTTGATCCATCGAATATGGGTTGCTAGGTTTTCAGCATGCAGCTCTGTCTCAACTCTGCAGATTTCTGTGAGCCTCGTCCTTTTTAAGGTTTGGTTTGTACCGTGAAATTTCGAAGAAAGTTTTCTCGACTTTGTAGGTGCCGTGTGGCTCAAGAATCATGGCATCTCTCGCTGTAATTTTCGCCTGAGCTGCACACTTGGGTCAATCACCAATCTAGCTCGTCCCATGACTGAACACCTCCAATTAGACAAAGCATTGAAAGTGCTTTGGCAAGATTGCAGTGATTCGAGAAGGCATTCTGATCAACTGAGTAACAGTGCAACATTTTGTTTCAACGAATGGTAAGTTGTCCTAATGTGATCTAGATGATTCATGTTTCTATGAATACAAAATTAATGATCCTGAGATCATGGAGTTGGAAAACCTTTGTAGCCTATTGATTATTCCAGGCTGCATGATGGATGGCAGTTATCCCACAAACACATGTAAAGAGGTGGTATTGGATAGGTCAGTTGGAAAAATACAAAAGGAAATGGTTATCATCCGCATTGGTGGTTGTCATTTACTGATCATGTCAGTGAAATTGTTGTCTTGCTCTCTGAAAAGGAGATAAATGACCTACAGAAGGACAAGCACCACCACAGTCTGTCCCTATTTGCAAGCTTTATCTTCATAGCTTGTCCTGTTTCTCAACAGCCCTTGAATCCATGTGCAAACAAATTCTCCTTAAATGCATTCATGAAGTGCAGGCCTGTGCATAATTCTTCGTTGTTTTTAACTCTTTCTTTTTTCTTCTTCCTTTTCCAAAATAAGCTTCAGCCAATGTGCATATGGCAGCTCTCCCCAATGCAATCCCATCTTTAAATGTGTGGATGCTGGAATTGGAGGATGCCATTGTGTAAACCTCCCAAGAAAACCAACTTGGGCCATAATATGAAAACTATGTAACCCTCACCTACCATGCCTGCCAATTCTCTCATTTTATAGAGGGAATTGCACTCTGGGAAACAAATATATATATATATATATATATATATTATGTTGTGGCCTGGGTTGCTTGAGATCTGCAAGCTATGTTAAAAGCATGACAGTGGAAAGGAGGCAGCAGTGCACATAGAATGATTGCTTTGTCCTCTTTGTTGAGGACCATGGTACAGTACCTCTTGTAAGGAAAATTGTACTACTCACTCTGCAAAGCCATAGTCTTCCACCTCATGGGCAGTGCTGTCACTGAGAGAAGAACCAAAAAAATCTGTGTGCATAAAGGAGTTGCAGTTAACTACTTTTCTTCCCTTTGCTTTGTTTCTTTGGCTGTTTTTCTCTCTTACTCCTATCCTTCAGCCTTTCTTTTACATCACTCAACTTATGTTCAAAAAGGTCCAGAGATATTCCTTACTCTAAACATTTCACACAATGCATCACACATCATATCCCTACAAACAACTGCAAGACGGCTGAAGATTGTAGAGCCTAACAGAAAATTCACCAAGACAATGTTTCAAAAGAAATGCATTATTATTATTATTATTACTATTATTATTTTCTCCTAGTTTCTGTTTTATGAGATAGAGCTTGCAATGATAACTAGAGTCAACCCATGTTCATGTCAGAAGTCATTTACTAAACCCCACACACTCATATACATGTACTCATTTACTTGATGCAAAACAACAAATGGGCTCTGGCTGTAGGAATTACTAATCAAATCCATTCTTTCTTCAATTAACCTAATTGGAAAGATTATACTAAAAAAAACGGGCTTGTTGTCATCCTTTACATTTTCTCCTCTCTGACATTAAAATTTATATATTGAGGAAATGAAATAAAGTTCAGGTTTTCATTGTGCTGAGTATTGTGTGGTGTAGAAAATGGCTGTGACATTGTGGTACAATTTTCCACCTTTGTACAGCACTCTCCTTTTTCCCTGTTTCAGTTGATTCAGGTCAAGTAATTCTTGTGACAAGGTAATGCTGAAATACATGTGGTTTAGGGTGGTGCCAATTCACATGCACTTCAATTTTCATTGATAGTGAAAGAGAGCAGTAATTCTTGTCAACTCACCATGTATAAGAAAATTTAATTTAGAATTATTAAGCTTTGGTTAAAATTATTATGATTATATTTCTTAATGATTTAATGTTTGACAAACTGTGCTTGTCAATGAGAGCTCCTAACATATATATATATATATATATATATACATGTTTCTTTTGTCGATAGTTATCAAAATTTGTCAATTGTAATATGCATGCATTTATTTGATTGCATTTAAAATATCATGTGTATTATTGTCAATATCATGATATAATCTTTAAAAGTCAAGGTAACTTCACAGATGAAATTAATTATGATATTCAGCTATAGGAATTACTAATAAAAGAATACTATTTAAGAATAATTATTTCATTTGGTAAATAATATGTCAAAGCTTATAAAGTGCAATATCAATACTAGTCATACATCAACTTAAGCTTGTTTTCAATTAAAGTGACTTCTGTGTTGTTATGTTTTGTATTTCAAGAACCATGAATGATTCAAGTTAACATTTCAAACAAAAACGTTTCACATTAAGATTTTAATTTAAACATGAATTTTATTCACACGTTTCGGTCAGTAAACTTATTGTATTTTTAATATATCATTTTGAAAAATACTATATACAATATTTTTTGGAACATTACATTCCAATTTCATTTATTTAATTATATTTCTACATCATTCAAAATAACGTCTTGCAATTGCATTAATCCACAAATCACAAATTATGTTTTGTCCACGATTTATAGTTCGATTCTATGCATGCAATGATAACAACAAAACAATATAATGGACAAAACATCTCTTCCAGGTGACATATATTCCATGGGTTTTTAGCAAATGAAATTGTTGATTTCAAACATTGTTTTATATTTTCTTGTGCCCGATTTTATTATTGCTACTATTAATATGATATTGTTGTTCATTAAAATTATATTCTTATGCACAAGCACAAACATTGAATCTGGTGTATGCAAGAACAAGTGACATTTGTTTTTGTTTTTTTACTATTTTAGGTTTCATATGTTACTTTTAATAACAGGTTTTTGAATTCACTAAAGTGAGGTCAAATTCCAGTTTTAAAATTATGCTTATATGTTCTCACATACACTTTCATTTGTTTATTAATTTATTTTTAATACTATCTCATCAAAAAAGAAAGAGGATAACGAATGTTGTCAACTAAATTCCAAGGAAAGGAAAGGGAGGGAGTGAGAAAGTGAGTGAGTGTTAGGGCTGCCCAGAGTGTCGAATTGCGTCGAAGGTTTTGAACAGTTTTCATGGTTACAGAATAGTAATAATACCATTCTGGGCATGGGAGTGTGTGTTTTTGTGGGGAGGGATCCTTTTTCCGTGTCTTTGCAATGACACCGATCCAGCATGGGCGTCGAAGGTGACCCACTGCCAGGCATTTCCTTTGGAGTTGTGAGTAAAGTGGGGTATTTTTCAATAGGAATATGCTGATACTTTTCCTCGCTTCAAATCTCCGACTGAGGATCCTGGCGAGTATTGCTAGTGCGAAAGTCAGAAGAGTGAATCTTTTGGTCCCGTGACTTCAGCGCACGACATTGCAAAATAATTGCAGATGCTATTTTGCAATCAGGGATTGTAGATTCAAAGACGGTTTTGCTGAGCTGGGCGTATGGAAGCAATCGTGTGTCAGAGCGCGGCACCCCGATGCAATCTCTGGAGCTGGGATGCACTTCGATAAGCTCTTCCTTTACCAGCTCGCAATGCATCCAGAAGGAATAAATATTTGGCCAATGGCCATGATAAGGCTGACCATACACTCACTGTCTTGGAACGGCCATCCAATGGGGAGGGGCCTCTCTCTTTGTCATCAGGCGATGATGCGGTCGTCTTTGGGCTTGGTCTGGGGTGGTGGTAGGTCTAGAGTTTCTGTTTGAGAAATCACGGTAACAGTTGGGCTTGCGTTTGATCTCTCGTTTCTGCAGATGTGAAAGGTGGCTGAGACGTGGCCGGTTGGCACTACAACGCTCCCGAAAGGTAGCCGGAAAGAGCCTCGTGTGTTGCATTCTACGAAAGGAAATATGTAAGCTCAAACGAAGTCACGTTGCAAATTAGTACTGTTGAGGAGGAATTTAGGAGGATCCTTAATCGCAAGGCGTGTCGTCCCAGCTTTTGACCCCGTCTTTTTCGTGAATAGAAAAATCACAGAAAAATGTGACGGATTATAATGAGTCGAAGGTTTGTATATCATCGTTAGAGGCCCATCTGCACTAAGTTTCAATGGTCTGCAGGGGTGCCACGGTGGGTGGGGGCAGGAAGATGAACTAAGTTTGATGAATACCCGTTACTTGCGTAAGCGCGTGCCTCTGGAACTTCACCTTCTCCTCAAGACAGTCGGCTCTCCTCGGGCTTGGCGCGATCACTCCGGGGCCCTCTCTGTTCCGCCTCATAGTGCCTTACTTCGTCTTTAATCTTTGTTCTTCCGCGTTAAGGCTGTGTTAGTGCTAACTATCTGGCGTGCCGGCCGCGTGTTCTCTGCTTGTTTCCCTCGAGTACCATACTGATCTTCCGTTTTAGGAAGCCTACACGGAAAGAATACTATGAAGCCCGAATGCAACTCTATCAATCAGTCTGCCAAAACCTCTAAGGATAAGCTTCCTCCGCAAGTTTCGCTTTCAGATACCGATTTACAGTTGCAGCCACTTGAATTGTTGTTCTCTGTCGCACTAGCTTGATAAAGAACAAAATATACCTTCATCTTAACCCGCTATCACATGCTTCGTACAAGCTCACGGTGGACCTCAGACTCCGCTCCTTCACCCCTGCGGAGAACTCTTTACCAATTCTTGATCCTGGCAAAGGAATAACCTGGAAATCTTCGTCTATATTAGGGCAAGAATTGATGCATGATGTTGGCGAGTTATATAAGTAATGTTGAAGCTTTTCAGACATTACTGGAATACGAATTTCATAAGTCTCTACATGGCAATCGTATTCACGGTTTCCTTCCTTCCTTCCAGTGTTGTAATGTTGCATTCATGTGTAAAATATGAATCGGTGCGTCTACGGTTACAGATGAACGAAGCCGCTTTGAAATAGTGCACCGAGTCGATGACAGTGCTGAAGGGGTTGGTGACGTCCCGGATCAACGGGGCATTCCAAGCAACCGGCGTCCATCCAGCATCATTCATCGCCAGGGATTCCACCGTGAAACCCGCAACGGCCCGTTAACCCAACTTAACGGACGGGTCGGTGACATTCTTCTGGAGCAAAAGGAAGAAATGACCATCATTTTAATAAACTCTGACAGAACCATCTCGATGGGGAATCGTTTCAGAGTGGGGCGGAGGTTGCTTGCTCCTCACTCCACATTTCCTTTTAACTCTACATTGATCTTACAGTTGTCCGCTGTTGTCTGGTGTTGGTATTGGAAGGAAGCTTCGAGTAGGCTATTCCTATGTGATCCAGCACAGCTTGCAATCTTTCCTTTTTCGTGCTGAATATATATATATATATATAAGTAATTAACAGTCCACAAGTTTGTTGCACGCACAACGAGACCAAACACCGTTGCATGAGGAGTTCGTTTGTCTCTGAAGTAAGTCACGTGAATTCGGCAGTAAAAGGAGTGATATGCTTGATTGACGTTGGAGAGTATCCAATTAAACAGACACAAATATAAATAAACAAATAAAATTAAGAATTTACAATTTTATTTACGACGCGTTTTCGCAAACGGACAAGAAAGGAAATGTGAACAACATCATCAATCCAGTTTCCAACGTGTTATAGCACGGTTATAAGTCTCTTCAAGTTTTCGATTTCTTCAGAGTAACTATTTCTTTGAATACAAATACTTTAGAGGAAAACATGCTTAAATTACTGGATGGACTTGATGCTATTTCACCAACAATGAACCTCGCGAGAAAATCAATCAACGAATTTTCTGACGGAACACTGCCACGACCCCAAACAGCAGCAGCAAAGCTTTTCGCTGTCTTGCTTCCAAAAGTTTCAAACTTGGGGGGGAAGTCTTGCCCGACCTCCCTCAGAATATGCCAGAGTTCCTCTTCCAGATCCCACTGTACGACGGTTCTGGTGGCCTGACTTTTACAACCCCCCCCCCCCCCCCAAATCCCTTTCGCGTGGCTGCCTGGCCAGCAGCCTCACACAGTGGATTATAAAAAGTTTAGGATTAAGTGGTTTTTTGTTTGAACCTAATGTCTATTGTCTGCAGTAAGAAATTTTAGTTAGGCTCTGACAGCTGACGAGGTGAAATATTGGCCTCTCTTTCCTCTTTTAGCGTATCAGGCCCTTCCTCCAGAAGTATAAGTATGGAGCTTCGCCCCCTGAGGCCTTATTTGCTCCTAACCATCCAGCACAAACGCGCATCCTCGTAGTGAGCGAGATAGAACCTCTTGAGGGTGCACGCGCGATTGGAAGCGTTACAATTCCCTGTTGGTATTGTGATGCTTTGCGAGTGTGCTTATCTGGTATTATAATCGAAGTTTTGGGCTGTGGGTTCGTCTGAGCGTTGTATATTTTGTTTACAAGATTATCCCGTCGTCGAAGTCTGTGGTTAGGATTGGTAGATCTGCGCGATCTCTTGTTGACTTGTATTGACCTGTAGCAATTTCTCTATGCTGGCAGCTGGTTCTCTGTGAGCTTCCTTATCGTGGAAAAGGTCTTAGGTTACAGTATCTAGTTCTTGTAAGTAAGGAAGTCGGGTCCTGACCTGCCAGTCACGTCTGCCAACATTCTCGTATGGGGTCCTCTAAAGCATGAATAAGTATCTTGACCAGGGAGAAGATTTTGGTCCTTAGAGATTTCTCGGTGGCATTTGTGATTGTTATCATTGTGAGTAGTGCTTTTACGCCTTCAAGCTTCGGGAGCGAGCTATCTTGACCCGTCACAAGGTGTTGAGAGAAGTAAGGTTTGAGCTCCGTTCTTAAGAGCTTAGGCCTACGAACGTGTAATAATGATATTGGTAGGAGCGGTGCCGATTACTTGGTAAAGATGGCAGTGTGGATGTCCAACTGCGGTGATCCATAAATAAACTACGGAAGTTCATCTATTTGACAACGCCCTAGGACGCCCATTCATTATCACAGGTCAGTATTTTGTAAACCACTTTTGATGAATAATCGATTGAAATGGCAAGATGACTAAATCTATAATTGTGAACTGTCCGTCTGTATTTGTTAGTAGGTTCGTGGTGTTGGTTCTCAGTTTTTGATTTACTTCTCGTCTTCTACTTTCCTTGCTCAAGATTTTATAAAAAGTTTTAGGAAATCTAAGATATTTCGGCCCGTTGGCCTTCTCCTCCGTCATTTGATCGCTACTGCAAATTAATTTCATGACAGCACTTTCTGTAGGATTGCGTTGCATAACCCGCTTCGTGTTGAAAGAGAAGGTGAATACTTGGTGCTGATGCCAATTATTGCCGTATTATCATCAGGTTTTAGCTCGTTGGGGGGTGGAATCAAGCACCGTGTCGAAAGGTGTTTTTCGTTTTCCATCTACAAAATTACACGAACTCAGTAAGCAGGTTTCAAGGATCTCCGCTCACGAAAAGAATACAAGAGGAAGACTAGAAGGCCATGGCCGAAGTGGCTCTCTTAAATCCCTTGGAGCAGATTCACGATTTTGCAGTGCTGCAGCACAAGAGCGAGGACGTGAAAGATATCTACACTCTAGGGAAGAAACTAGGCGAGGGGCAGTTTGGTATCACCTATCTGTGCACGGAGAAAGCCACCGGTCTCAAATATGCATGCAAATGCATCCCAAAGCGAAAGCTAATTTCAGAGGAGGAGATTGAGAATGTTGGGCGTGAGATTGAGGTTATGTACCACCTCGCGGGACATCCTAACATCGTGGCCATCAAGGGCGCGTACGAGGATGAGACGATGGTCTACTTGGTGATGGAGCTCTGTGAGGGAGGTGAACTCTTCGATCGCATCATAGAAAGAGGGACGTACACCGAAGCGAAGGCTGCTGACTTGACCCGCACGATTGTGGGCGTCGTGGAAGCTTGTCACAACTCGGGCGTTGTCCACCGTGACCTGAAGCCCGAGAATTTCTTGTTTCAGACCAAACACGAAGATTCGATGCTGAAGGCAGCTGATTTTGGCTCCTCCCGGTTTTTTGAGCCAGGCGACGTATTTACAGAAATTGTCGGGAGTCCGTTTTATGTTGCACCCGAGGTGCTGGATCGTCATTACGGGCCAGAGGCGGACATTTGGAGCGCGGGGGTCATTTTGTACATTTTACTGAGCGGGGTTCCGCCCTTTTGGGCCGAGACAGTGCAGGGTATTTTCGAGGAGGTCATGAAAGGAGAGCCACCGAGCTTTGCTGCCGATCCATGGCCAAATATCTCCGAGGGCGCCAAGGATCTGATCCGGCAGATGCTGAACCCCGACCCGCGAAAGCGCTTGACCGCTGCGGAGGTCCTGAAGCATCCTTGGATTCGTGAGGACGGGGTTGCGTCGAACAAGCCCATCGCCTCCCTGGTCCAGTTTCGGCTTAAACAGTTCTCAGCCATGAACAAGCTGAAGAAGCTTGCCATCCGGATCATTGCCGAGAAGCTTTCAGAGGAGGAGATTGCGTGTCTGAAGGAGATCTTCTCCGAGATGGATCGCGACAAAGATGGAGCCATCAGCTTCGAGGAGCTCAAGGAAGGTCTCCTGAAAGCCGGCACCACACTGAAGGACCCCGAGATCTTCGACCTTATGGATGCCGCCGACATCGACCAAGATGGCATCATCGACTACGGGGAGTTCCTGGCGGCGACCCTCAGCTTGAACCACATCGAGCTGGAGGAGAACCTGTTTGCTGCATTTCAGTACTTCGACAAGGATGGCAGCGGTCACATTACAATGGATGAGGTTCTCGCCGTCTGTCGTGAATTCAACATGGAGGACGTCCTGATCGAGGACTTGCTGCACGAAGTGGATGTTGATCACGACGGCACCATCGACTACAAGATGTTTGTAACAATGATGCGCAAAGGGAATGGTGGGGTTGGCCACCAAACCTTGCGGTGCACCCTGGGCATCACCGACGTTCTAGCGCATGATATGACCTGACTGACTGCAGTAACCAATCGGCAGGTTTTTGTACTTTTATTTCGTGAGGGTCTGAACCTGACCCATATACAGTGGCTGAGTGGAGATCCAAAAATCATAAATTTTGGCGATTTTGTGGACGGCTACGAGGTTCCGAGTATGGAACCCACCTTGCCCATTCCCCTAGATAACCCCTGCCAGGGTGTGAAGAATTCGCCCTCGCACTTGGTTGGATAATTTTTTCCCACTCCAACTTTGTTGTACGAGAGGTGATTGACGGCTTTTTGTTGATCTTTGAGAGGTGAATGAAGATTACGGCAACGGATCTGCTGCAAGTTTTTTGCAAGTAGCAGGCAAAGAATAGAATGGACCCAGGTGTGATCTGATATTGATCAGGTTTTGTGGAGAGGAATTGGGGTCAATAGCAGGTGTCCTTGTAAGATTTAGTTGCTGTGTCGGAGAATGATGCTCGTTTTTCTTAGACATGTAATTTTGGTTTCAGAGAGTGTTGCGAGGCTGCGACGGGCAGCAGATGGTATGCGTTAGGATCTTTTGAAGACCACTGTGTGCTTTTGTATTAGCTATCTCCTGGAATATTATTCAGTATTTTGTAATATATATACTAATAGAACCTAAATATTAGAATCGTGTAATTAGTGCATGATGCAGAACATTTTCATTGGCAAGAACATTCGTCTCCTGCTTTGTGCCTACTGAATCCAAATTTTGTTCATAAGCGGAGCTTTGGACGGCCTAATTTCACTTAAATCACATGTTGATTTGAAATGTTGTGTCAGCGAGATGTGCAAGGAGGATATTAGACTAATTTACAATCAGCTAATGCGTCGGAACATGCAACATTTTCTAGCGCCTTCGCTGGCTGAATAGAGGTGTAGTAGACACGCTGACGATAATCGGAGACTTTTTTTGGTTTCAATTAGTTATTGTTTTGGCAAGATTAACACTTAACTCCTCTTATTCGTCTTTTAAGCTTGTAGTGACTTGGTAAAAAGACTTTTCTAGCTTGTTTCAACACTAAGGAGGGATCATTACTTGTGACTGATCAGCACTTTTTATACATATATTGAAGTGAAGTAGATCCTTAAATTTGGCATGGTTTCAAGTTAAGAAAAGTTCTAAGTATGGTACAACTTTGTTACAAAAATACTTCTAAATATAAAGTATTATAACTGATTTAAAATTATTTTTATTTTAGATGTTCTAAGTAAAATTAAGATCTTAAAAAGTTATGTTAAAATTTAAAATAATCCATCATATATTTAAGTAATTTTGATTTGCAAATTCAATCTATAGTTTTCTTTTGTTATATTTTTAAATTCAATTATGATTATGTACTTAAACTTCAGTAGTTCATAACTAAATATTTAGATACTAAACTAAAATGAGCTATATAATAGAATAAATTTAAAACAATATTTATTCTATAAATATATTATATTATATTTTTAATACTACCTAGATTTAGTAAACGAGCTTGAATAATTACTAATGATTTTAACATCCAATAGTCACTGCTATTGTTGGGCTTAAAACTTAAATAGAAAATCTGCCCAAAACTCTTGAATATCAAGTTTGGTGGTTTACTCTAAGAGCATACAGAATCCAAATTTGACCATTTTTTAGTCATTTTTTTGTGGAACATGCCAAAAGAAGCAAATGACATTCTTGGTTTGTAAATTGGAGATTATTTTCAGCATTGAAGTGATATTTATTTAATGCCATTTTCTTTGCAAGTGTTTTTTTTTTTCCCTTCTTTTCCACATTTCATTTTGTTGTAATTTTCTTTTAGTCACATGTTTTGTGATTAGTAACCATCAACTATATGCAGGTATTGGTTGCTTTGGTTTACTTTTGATTTGTGACCTTCAATCGTACGTAGGTGTTGGTTGCTTGGTTCCCTTGTGATATCTGCTTCTATATTATTTGGAATGAGGATCAAGTATGGATTTTTGATTTTTGTCTTTAGTACCTTTCTTTGGTTGCAAATATTGTTGCTAGAGGTTTTTTAGTATTGCATATTTTGTATTGTATTAGTCTATATTGATAAGCATATGATAGGAATGAGATTGGATTGATGGACAACAAGATCTTTTTGTTGGTTGGGTTGTTGGCATTGCAATGATTTGGAGGTGATTATCAATGAACTACAAAGATTGGTAGTAGTTATAGTTACAAGTAGTCCTTAAGCCTTAAGATAATTGTAGGTATCTATGTAGTCTTTTTTATGGTATATACCAAGAGTCAATATTATCAATCTTCTTCACCATACTACTTAGAAAGTAACCACATCTAAGGCTATGAGCCAATAGTAGATACTAACAAGATTTTTTAGCTTGTTCTAGTATTGGATACCACAAGAAGGCTTTAAATATTAAATGTAGATATATTTCACAATTAGAAGACAATCTTTGCAACATGGTGAGAGATTGGTTCTTCGAATAAGCTAGGGGCATTTCCTTACTAGATTGGAAGCTCAAATTTTAAACATGGATAAAGGAAAAATACCAAAGGTCACATCTTTTCAACGAGGTATGCTTTTGAGCTACTACTACAATATTTGAAGCATGAGGTGCTCCAAACTTATGGAGAATGGAATAGCAAGTAGTCGCTTAAATTGTAAGCGGTGGAACTTTATTAAGAGGTGAGAATAGAACTTATTTCAACTCTTAAAGATAATATTATTTCTAGCTTAATATATACAGTAAAAAAAGAAGATCCACAAAAAAAAAATTGAGACATATTTAGAAAAGACTAAAAGAAATGAGTAGCAATAGTCTTAGATAATATCCCACTCACTTTATCAAATATAGATTAAACTATGAAGATAACTTTATTTGCAATGGAAAGACTACTATCATTTGAGCTACTCCAAATATTTATTAAATACTTGAAAATGAGTATGGAGGTTTTAGGCCTAATCAAATGTAGATTATTTAAGATTTTCAATGTGAAAAAGAAGATACTTCATGCACTATGTATAATTGTTTGGCTCAATTTGTAATAAAATTAAGAAAAATATTTGTTAAGAGGCAATCTATCAAGATTTTCTTATCTAAGATTTAGCCACACCAAGAATTATTCTAAGCTATAATGGCATAGCAACATTGACACATACATTTTTTAAAGTTGAAAAGTATAATAGGACCCTCTATTAGCATGATGCTATTGACATAGTTGCTTAAATGACCGATGTATTTAGGCCCAAGAAGATTATAATTGCCACAAGTAGCTTGGCAAAAACTTAACTTAAAAATACTATGTATTGTTGGAGGTATGATGAATCTAGTTATACCAAAAATGATCAAAATTTTTGTAAGAAGAAAAAAATCCAATATATAGAAAAGTCTAAGTAAAAATAATAATCTAAAAATAGCTAAATTAAGAAAAAAATCTAAAAATAAGTAATTAAAATATATTTAATATAGTAAATTCAACTAAAATAAAGATAATTGCTTTATTTTGCATCCACGGAAGCGACATGCTTTAGATAAGAAAAGAATCTTAGAAGCTAAAATTGCCAAATAAAAAAAAAATCAACAATATAGTCTGATTACACCAAGTTTTATATAAATTTTAGAATTTGACTAAGTTCTTATATCTAGATAATTATATATTTGGTGCATCAAGACAAATATTAGTTGCAATTTCTATATGTACTTAAAAAATAAAAATAAAAATGACACCTATTATAAGTAATGTACCAAAAACCTTGCATGGCTATTAAAATAATTATAGAGATTTTAATATTCATATTTAATTGCCATTATCATTAGGTCTTATAAATGTTAGTTTTGCAATAATGCCTTCTATTTCAACTTCAATATAAAATGGAGATACTACTATTAAAGTTAAGAGACATACCTTGGATTATAAAATATTAAATATACTTATCTTATCTAAAATTGATGTATTGACTCCAAAATTTAAAGTAATAGAGATTTTCCAATTAATTGATAAAATATTAAAAGATAAGATACTTATGTCATCTCTAGAAGTGGTTGAAGCAATTACATAGCTTTCACTAAAAGAAGATTGTCTAAGTTGCAAGCAAAGTTTGCAATTGAAATTATTGCCATATTTGATGAAGATCATTTGAGGGAAACAAGCATGGATTCTTTATTTGAGATGCCATTGGCTACGTGGATAGCATATTTGTTAGATTTTATGAGTAAAATTGCTTGAAAAGTTGAAACTTCTACTTATATATTGTATGCTTGGTTAATAATAATAATAATATGCATGTTATTAGGTGTACTAGTAGAAATTTTACTTGTATTACATCTTTAGTTGTCATAGTGGATTCTAGTATCCAATCAATTATGATTGACAAGTAACTTGTTTAAAAATTAGAACTTATTATTATATACCTAAAGCTTCTTTTTTTCCACTATTGTTACTTTAGTAGGAAGCATGGAGTAAGTTGTTAGCTATACTAAGTAGCCATCGTAATTGATTATTTGCACCAAATTTAGATAAATTTATTCATATTTTTTTCTATGATGTATAGTAATTGATACTACCAACTATGATATTTTAATTGGTCAACATATAATTTATTCTTTTGATTTTTATTTAAATAATTGATATCAAAGGAATTATTTAATGTAATAGGATTTTTTTGAGTATCCAACACTTTAAACTTAAGATTTAATTATCACCAATTACCATTACTTGTTGAAGATTGAATAAAGATAAGATTTTGGAGAATTGATCAAGATAACAAAGATCAACTATATCATTTGAAGTTTCTTCTATTTGACCTTAAGAATATAGTAGCTGAGTTTTAGAGGATAATAAAAGAAGTATTGGCTAGCTTATCATTTGCTAGATGCTATAATAATGATTTTATTATTTTTAGTAATAAGCCATCTAATCATGTGAAATATTTGCAAATATTATTTGAGAAATTACCACAGTAAAGAATATATTTGCATCATAATAAGTATAAATTCTTCTACAAAAAATTACCCTACTTGGATCATATGATCATTCTAAGAAGACTTTGCACATATCAAGCAAAGATAGATGTCTTGCAAATAAACTTAGCACTAAGTAATATTTCACAATTTCAAGAATTTTTTAATTAGATAAATTACTATAAAATATTTATTAAGAACTCCAAATTAATTGTCAAGCTTTTAATTGCTCTCATTAGCAAGGATCATCCATAGACTTGTAATTAGAACCAACAACATGCACTTGATATACTAAAGCAAAAGTTGGATTTAATTCCAATACTTTGATGTCCAAATACTATTCAATCTTAATAATTGCACACAAATTGGATTGCAATAAGATTGGAATCAATATTAATATAAAAGAATGATGTAAGATAAGAATATATCATTGTATTTTCATTTAGAAGCAATAATAGTATGGGATACAACTACTCATCTTGTAAGGAATAAACTTTAGCAGCAATTTGAGCTATTGCTTATTTTTGACCTTATTTGTATGAACAATGATTTATATTGGCAATTGACTATTAACCTTTAAAATGACTTATAGAATCAAACAAGCTTACTAATATGCTTGCTAGATATACTTTATTGCTTCAAAAATATGATGTTAAGATTGTGCATTAAGCAAGCATTATCAATTTGGATGTCGACAATTTTTTTTATAATCCAAGTTCTTTGGAAGAAGACTTGATCGGAGGTCAATTACATAAAAATTGTGACAAAGAAGCAATTCTTAAATAGCATACAACTACATATTTGACTATGATATCAAATTCTATAATTATG